ACAAGAAGCCCTTATTTCAGATGCCCATCATAAAGTGCCCAGGTTACCTACCCTTGCGTTCGACTTGGCTACAAAGTCAAGGGGTTCCCACAACTTGCCCCCTTTCAAGTTCAACAATTTGCTAAATGACTCACAGAACTCAGGTACACTTTTTACTTATGTTTACTGGTTATTACAGAGGATACAAGTCAGAAATAGCCCAAGTGGAAGAGATGTGTAGGCGAAGGTGTGAGGGAGGGGTGTGTGTGCAGGGCTACCATGCTCTGCTGGGGATACCACTCTTCCAGCACATCGCTGTATGCACCAACCCAGAAGCAAGCTCTTGTAACATTGAGGGTTTTGTGTGTGTGTGTGTGTGTGTGTGTGTGTGTGTGTGTGTGTGTGTGTGTGTGTGTGTGTGTGTGTGTGTGTGTGTGTGTGTGTGTGAAGGTTTCATTATGTAGGCATGATTAATTACCTCAGCTACTGGTGATTAACTCAGTCTCCAGCTCCTCTCCCCTCCTCAGAGGTCAGAGGTGGGGCTAAAAGTTCCAACACCCAATCGTGCTTTGGTCTTTCTGGTGACCAGCCTTTAGCCTGAAGCTATGTAGGGACGCCCAGCCACCAGTCATGCATTAGCATACAAAAGGCTCTCTTATCACTGGGGATATCCCAGTGCCAGGAACCGGAGACAAAGGCCAAATACCTATTTCCCATCACACCACACTTAGCTCTTGTGGTCTATGACAGTTTCTCAATCTTTCCCTGTTTTTCATGACTGATAATTGTGAGGAGTACTGGCCACATATTTTATAGAATGTCCCCCAGTTTGGGTTTGTCTCATGTTTCTTTCATGGTTACACTGGGACTATGGGTTTTGGGGAAGAACACTACAGAAGTGAAGTGCCTTTCTCATCACATCCTGTCAGAGGTACATGCTGTCACCATGATTTATCCCTGATTATGTTAATCTTGATCACCTGGATAGGGTAGTGTTTTCTAGGTCTCTTTAACTCAAAGTTACCTTTTTCTTCCTCTTTCCATATTCTATTCTTTGGAAGCAAGTTCCTAAGTGACAAGAATGGGGATGGGGAAATTAAGATCTAAGTCCTGGAGGAGTGAGTGTTTGCTTAAATTATTTAGAAATCTTCTATAAGGAAGATTTGCCACTTCTTCCACATTTATTTATTTATATCAATATGGACTCATGGACATTTATTTCGTACCTGGAGCTGTAATTAATTTTTAAAAGTTCTCTCCTATATGCTGAATGAATTCTTTTTCATTAGGGCATTTATTCTGATGTCTAGGTTTAATTTGCACTTCGAATCACTTTATTTGCTTGTTTTTTTTTTAATTTATTTTGTTTTCTTTTTATGTCTAGTGTTAGGCTCATCTTACTTTCTTATGTGCTCATGTGGTCAGTGTGATAAGACGGTTGTACCAGGTTGGGAGGGCTGAAAGAAATCTCTCTCTCCATATAGAGTTTGGTTTCTATAGCTTGACTTTCAGAAATTCCCTCAAGCAGGCACTATGCACTCACTTATTCATTCAACAAATATTTAATGGGCACTGATACGTGCCAGGAGGTAGTGTTCTGGGCACTGAGGATAGAGCAGTAAACAATACAGCTAAGATTTCTGTTCTTCTGAACTATGTCCTAGTAGGGGTAAGACTAATAACAAAGAAATGAGATCATGAAGAGTACTGAGTCCTGGAAAGGGGTGTAGTGTGCTACTTTAGAGAGGGTGGGCAGGGAGTACCTCTGAGTAGGTGAATTTTGAGACAATCTAAATTTTGACATAGAGTCAGCCATGGGAAGAATGCTTCCCTTAGAAGCAAGGATAAAGGCCTTGGGAGAGAGAATGAGCTTGGTATGTGCAAGGAATAAGAAGAAGGCCTGTTTGGCTGGAGCACAGTGAACATATGTGAATGAGATACGGGGAGATAGGCAGAGGCCAAATCTCGTAGAGCTGAGCAGAACAAAGGAAGAAATATGGACTGAATTCTGAGCACAATGGGAAGCCATTTAAAGCAGGAATGTGACATGATATGAATTGCATGTTAAAATAGTACTCTGGCTGCGCTGTGGAGAAACTCAGTTGAACCTGGGCAAGAACGGAAAGGAGGAACTTATTTAGGAAACTGTCACAGGAGAGAGAGATGGTGTGGACTGGGGTCCTGGCTGTAATGTTGGAGAAACGCAGATTGGTTCAGAATATATTTTGCAAGTATATCTAACAGGACTTGCTGATAGATTGGGTAATTCCTGAGATTTGTGGTGGCTGATCAGAGAGGGAAGAAGAAGCAGGACTATCCTAGAGTATCCGAGAGTATGATGGGGCCACTAGAAAGACTGGCTATAAGGGATTGGGAATTAAGAATTCTGTTTTGAACAAGTTAATACAAAATAGCTATTGAACACCTAAGTTGAGATGTCAAATATCGTTATATGTGAACTTGGAGCATGGGAGAGGTGTGAGCTGGAAATACAGATTTGGCCATCATCAGATCAGATGGTGTTTAAAGTCATGAGACCAAATGTGAATGAGTGAAGCTATAGTGATAATAAAGGGGCCCCAAAGAACTCCAGTGTTTTATAGGTAGGGTGTGTGTGTGCATGCGCCCATGTGTTTAAGAGGAGAAGGGAGCCAGCTTAAGAGTGGTGTATCCGGGGTACAAGAGCACCTGGCTCTGGGGGTCCCAAACAGACCAGGGTTGGCCATTTGCTGCTGACAAAATCCAAAGGCAGAGAGACCGATTGGTGATGAAACAGGAAAGGAATTTATTTCTATGAGGCCAATGTCCAGAAGACAGCCGACTAGCATCCCAAAGACTGTCTCCAAAGTGCTGAAAATACTTCCAGGTTTACATAAGGAAAATGTGGGGCAAAGATGGGTGGGTAGTGCAGGCAGGAAGTGAAGGTCAAATTGATCATCATCCTCATCGTCCTGGAGTCAATCATGGGCAGTGTCTTACAGGTTCAGGGCCGCCCTTACTGCTTCAGGGGGTAGTTTAAGTTCCCCTCTGGAGATGCTTTGCCCTCAGGGTCTTCTGCCTGAGCCTAGAGACAAACTGGAAAGAACGCAACTAAAAAGTTTGAGGTCGGGGCGCCTGGGTGGCGCAGTCGGTTAAGCGTCCGACTTCAGCCAGGTCGCGATCTCGCGGTCCGGGAGTTCGAGCCCCGCATCAGGCTCTGGGCTGATGGCTCGGAGCCTGGAGCCTGTTTCCGATTCTGTGTCTCCCTCTCTCTCTGCCCCTCCCCCGTTCATGCTCTGTCTCTCTCTGTCCCAAAAATAAATAAAAAACGTTGAAAAAAAAATTAAAAAAAAAAAAAAAGTTTGAGGTCAAAAGGGAAGCAGCCTAATTGGTGACATTGTCTGTGGCAGTGGCTCCGCGCTCAGTGCTTGGGCAGGAAAATGGGTTTACATTCCAGACCGGATCCATTTTGGGTAGTAAGCGTTTGCAGGTGGCTTCTCTGAGAACCTGGACTGTCTTGGTGGCTGTGGAAAGGCTCCTTTTTCTGGCTGGGTCTGCGGACAGGGTAGGGTTATTGTTCTAGCCTCTTGCATCTCTAGAGGCCAGTGGATGGCTGGCTGCAGGGGATAGAGGTTCACAAGAGACTGTGGTTCTGGTTAGTTTCTCTGGGACTGGTATAGTAGCTGATACTACAATACAACCTTCCTGTGATGTGAGACTTGCATGTCACACCTTTGTATTTAAGGTGCTATTCAAGTGCCTGGATTTACTTTTCTTTTCTTGAATCTTGTGAAGAAGTCAGGACACAAGGCATGTGCTAGTATCATCCTCTTTCTAGAATCCTACTTCCTCATTCCTTTTAAACACTGTAGGTCTTTTTATTGTTTGGCTATGCCACCGTTTATTCAGTCAGTTCCTATGTTGATGGAGATTTTTGGTTCAGTATTTTACTATTACAAACATGTCTTTTTTGAGTATTTGTATGACTTTAACAGAAGTGAAATTGCTCTGTCAAAAGATATATGCATTTTAAATTTTCATATAAATGGCTAAATTATACTCCGCCATCAAAGTTCTGTGCTCAATTTTTGGTTGAACACATTTAGCGAAATGCACAATTGTTCTGTGAAAAACAGGCCATGTGCTAGTTCTTGTGGCAGAACTAAAGGGAGACTTAGTTTCTCTGTTAAATAGATGGTGGTGGGGGGGTAACATTGTGGGGGCTGCATCAGTTTCATTCCTTTAATTGTTTCTTTTCTCTTTCATTCCAATATTCAGTTAATATCATTTCTTCAGGCAACAAGGTAATGAATAAGGGAAGAGAAGGCAAAGATGTGAACTGACTGGTTAGCAAACTTGCTCTTGAAAAGACAAGTGTCAGTCGCGGAAATGGAAAAGATTGAGATTCAGCAACATAATAGCTTATATATTATATCCACTACCTTCATTTTAGGTTATATAATCCTTTGGCATTAGTCCCTTTTTGTTGATTAGAGAGGTCTGGATTACAAACCTTGACATAAGAGGGTTGAGTGGGGATGTAGTTTTGGTGCCTTTTCCTTCCGCATTAATAAAGTGCCTTCTGTCTCAATGAGGCAGACTTCAGTTTTGAAGTCAGCACAGGGAACGTCATATTTGGTTTATTCTGTGAGAGTAGGATAGATAAGAGCAGCCATATAAATGACCAGATGATTTAAGACATTTGGGGGATTTAGACATTAGTAATTTGGCATCGGAACTATTGTTCTCAGTTACCAGCGACTAGTGCAGTGGTTTTCAAAATTTAAGGGTAACTAGAAAGTGCAAAAATATTTTGCTATGTGCGTGCTTCTCTAATCCTTGAGACCTATAATACAGGTAGTGGTAGCAATATATTATAGATGATAAAACAGGCTCAGAGTGATTTAGTAACCTGTCTAACATCACACAGCTCAGTACTTTAATGTGCTATAGTGTTTCCTGTCTGCTAGGAGGTCAAATAGCTTATGTTAAAAGAGATGTAATGTTTATTGTGTGTATTAAATGTGCCTTTGATGTTTTAGGTGAGCGTACACAGTCTTATGCAGTTAAGGAATTATTCAGAAGTTTGCAAAAACTGTCGTGAAGCATACAAAACTCTGAGTAGTCTATACAATGAAATGCAAAAAATGAATGAACTTGAAAATAAGGCTGAATCTGGAACACATTTATGCATTGATGTGGAAGATGCAGTAAGTACTTTACTTGTGATATGATGCATATTTTGCAGTGTTGTTGATTGTGCCTTCAGTAGTACTATCCCCTTTAGAGATATATTGGAATCTGTATATGCTGTCTTCAACCAGAAATAACTAGTTATAAAGTAGTAGAGTTTTAGAATATCCTGATATGTCAAACTAAAATGAACATAAATCAAGTACTTCATAAATGAGTTGACAATTTGGTACGTTTGGTGTTTTAAGGTTGATAAAATGTGTCATTTTCAGAGGCATGGGTGTTGTTATATGTTTACATTTCAGTTTCTTATGTGCTATTGCTGATTCAAGAAGTCTCTGGTTTTGCTACTATGTGTTTCTTTTTTCTTTTTCTTTTTTTTTTTTTTTTTTTTTTTTTTGTAAGCTTATATATTTATTTCCAGAGAGAGAACAGCTGAGGGGTGGTAGAGGCAGAGAGGGAGAGAGAATCCCAAGCAGGCTCTGTGCTGTCAGCACAGAGCCCAACGCTGGGCTCAGTCTCACAAACTGTGAGATCCTGACTTGAACCGAAATCAAGAGTCAGCCGCTTAACTGACTGAGCCACCCAGGTGCCCTGCTACCGTGTGTTTCTGAAGCCATTTTTGAATTGCTTCCTATCCCATTGCTTTTATTCTTTATATCTGTTATCATCTGAAATTTTTAATTTGTTTACTTATTTACAGTCTGTTACCTCTCACTGAAATATAAGCCACATGAGGAAAAGGACCTCCTGTCCTTTTCTGTTTACTGTCCAGTATTTAGAACAGTGCCAAGCATATAGTAGGCCTTTAGTAATGTATATTGATTAAATGGTTAACAAAAAAGATTTTTCCTCCACCGTATAGTCGGCCTTCATGTGGGGCACCACTAGATGGCGATCATGCCTTTTTATGGGAATATGGTGCCTGAGGGTTGAGGCATCAAAGGAAATAGGAATTACTGGCTAAAAGTAGAGAACTAAAGGTCAGAGTTAATAAACTTAATGGTTGAGAATGATGAATATGAATAGCAGCTCAGAGTGAACTATGGTGGATCAATAATATTCGTGATGGCAAAAGGCATTTATTATCAACTTAAAATGGGTGGGTATACCATGGGGATTTTTATTTTTTTACTGCTCTTTTTCTAATGTCTGGAAGAGTACCTGCTTCTAGTAGGCTCTCAGTAAATACTAAATATTTATTTTAAGAATAATAGTCTATTTCATCATTTTTAAAATGAAGAAGAAAGATGAGTATTGATTCTCTGACAAAGGTTGGATTACATAGGAAATCAACATGACTGCCTGTTTTTAGAACGTCCTTCTTACAGTAAGCAAAGCTTACAGTAAACATACAAAGCACCATTTGCAAACCATATCTCAAAATTCAGGCAAGAACAGTTTTCTACATTAAATTTGATAGTTTCCTTATATCACTTACCATGTTTGACAGAAACTGTGAGCTCAATGAAAATGGGGTATTACTGCCCCTAAATATATCTGTTTTTAATGTATGATGCTAAATGAAATACTACCTAAAAAAGTTTCCATGATTCATTAGATATTATGGACTTAAACAATTATTTGCCATATGAATCTTTCATAATATCTTAGGTAAGGTACTAAACATTTCATAGATATCATCTCTTGAAGAACAGCTGTATTTACATATTTAGTTGATGTTTTTATTTTCATTCTAAAAATATTGCAACAAGCTCAGTGAGATTACACATGTAACATAAAAAAAATTTGTTTTTGTGAGCCTTCCCCCCCCCCGTTTTATTGAGATATAATTGATGAATGAAATTGTAATATATTTAAAGTGTTCAACGTGATAATTTGATATACATATACATTGTGAAAGGACTCCCACAGTCGAGTTAATTAACACATCCATCACCTCACATTGTTACCCTTTTAAATCTTCTTTAATGAATGAAGCATGGTCTAACCATATTTCTGTTGATACAAGTTCTCCGAGATCTGTGAAAGGCTGACATTCTTTGGATGGTGTTATGAATTTAGAATATGAAATTTCTGTATGATATAAACTTACGCAGTGACTGATTGTAAACTAGCTAATTTCCGGGGCAGAAGAAATTGTCCTCAACTATCAATAGATTTTTTAGGGATGTATATTTAGTTTTAAATTCTGGATGCCTGTTATTTTACTAATAAAATAATTGTATGACTTGAAGACAAATTAAATGTAAAACAAAGTAATTTTATTTGCTATCGTTCCAGATGAACATTACTCGAAAACTTTGGAGTCGAACTTTCAATTGTTCTGTCCCTTGCAGTGACACAGTGCCTGTAATTGCTGTTTCTGTATTCATTCTCTTTCTACCCATTGTCTTCTACCTTAGTAGCTTTCTTCACTCAGAACAAAAGAAACGGAAACTCATTCTACGTAAGTTTCTTTTTACGACTGTTTATTTATTTAACTAAAACCTGTATTTTAAAAACTTAAGCCTGTTTTAGAAATGATGTATACTCTGAAAACTCAAACTGTATTAGACTAAAACAGCTCTCTGCTTCAAATTTTACAGTAAATACTTACTAATAGGAGAGATGTGTAAGAAGTCTATAAGTACAAATAATCAAAAGTCAACATACAGTATCTTTTCAGATGTTTTAACTGAGAGAGCTAGCTCTGGAATTAGGTAGGCAACAACAGAAGAATAGCAACAAAGGTTTTGCAGACCTGAACGGCCATGGTAGGGAGAGGTGGACAGCTCTCAGGCCCATCAGAGCTGTGGCAGAGCCACCTAGAAAGCCACCTAAAAAGGCAGGGAGAAACTATAGTGAACACACAGACAATTTGTTTATGAATAAATTGGAATTGTAGTTGCAAGGACATTACTTCACATACAGCATGTGCCCACACATATTCCCCATCAAATAGGGCAGAGCAGGAAAAGCACTAACTAGAAGTTCCTATTTAGCTGAAGATGAGTGGTTTCTAAGTCTAGTGGGTTTCTTGTTTATGATCAGAATGAAGGTATGGGCTTATCCCTTAATAATTTTAATTTTTAAAATAGAGAATGTCTTTTGTAGAAAAAAGTTAGGCTTTTTTTTCTCTTAAATATTATTCCTAGTCTAGGAACCTATGATATAAAATTTCTTTCCTTTATAAATTTCTTTCTAGCCTTTCTTCTTCACAGTTTATTTAACCTCACTAATATATTTAACTAAAAAAAGCTACTTACAGATCAGCTTGAACTGAATTTGTAATGTCTTGTCACCTTGAAAAGCTAGCTAATAGAGGGGAAAGTCTGTAATATGAGTGTATTTGGCAAAGCTTTTCAAAGATTGCTAGTATTCTGTAAAATATGTAATAAATGAGTCCTAAAAGCACTTACTTACAGTTTTAACAAAATATTGCAGGGACCTCACTATTGAGAAACTTTCTTTTTCAAGGCTTAGTGTACTTTTAAAGTTTAGCATCGTATTTGCCTGCAAATCAGTTTAACTCTGTGGAAGATACTTATTGCTTCTGATCAGGGTTTTTCAAAGTCACTTTCATCCATCTGCTTGTACAAGCCACAAACCTTGTTATCTTTACTTTCTTAATTCTTTTCTTTATTATTTCCCCATTCCCATATTCTCTTCCCTACCTTTTTTCACTCCATCAGCAAGTATTGACAGCTGTACTTCCAAAAATGTATCTTAAATTATCTTTTCTCTACCTCCACTGATAATACCTTGGCCCAAGCCATCCCATCTCTTATCTGCCCTAATGCAGGAGTCCCTTACCTGGTATCCCTGCTTCCATTTTTTGGACCCACAACAATCCATTCTTCATATAGTGGGTAGAGTAATTTTTCAAACACAAATTTTACTATGCTTTTCTCCCACTTGAAACCTTCCTGTGTTCCTGTTGCATCTAGAATAAACTCAAAACATATTTCCAGGGTCTGCTTTCTAAGCTATGTGTGACCTGCCCCTCCCGCCCCATCTACCTTTCTAAACTCACTACACCCACTCCTTTCTTTGTTCATGATGCTGTATGTAGGCAGACTGGCCTTTTTGCTCCCTTCAAACACCAAACTCATTCACACTGCCCCCTTCCCAAAGCTCTTACACTGGGCCTCTCTACCTTCCTTGACTGGCTCCTTGTCATCCAGCTCTTAAGCCAAAGATACTTATTCAAAGATACATTTTATGACCCCCATCCTTAAGACATCCTTCTTTCAATTCTCCTATATCTATCATCTTTCTTTGATGACACTTTTTAACTTAACTTTTTCATTTATATTCTATCTTATTTGCTCTCCTGACTCAACTGGAGGCTCCATCAGAACAAGGATTTTATCTTGTTCACCACTATATCAGTATCTAGAAAGTACCAGGCCTATATTAGGTGCTCAAATATATTTGTTGGACAAAAGAACGTCTATCTAATGTTAGCATTTCCTAGGGTGTGTTCCTTAAAATAACTAGTCCTGTGAAATTCCTTTTTATGATCTCCATAGTGTACCTGAATATAAATTAAAGGTTCTGAGATTATATTCCCAAAACTTGACAGAACTTTTGCATATTACCTGTGATGTTTCATGTTTATGAATTGATTTATGAATTTAAGGAAATGCTAGTGTAAGCAAACAATTCTTGTGCTGTTATCTCATGGACAT